GCAACTTTTTCTTTGATTTCCCCCTTGTAGCCTCGCTTGTTTTGATGTACTCGCTCCTGGCACCTTTCTTACTGTTCCCATGCATTGAAGTATGTGATGGAAATGTGCCAAGGTATTCGGCAATAGCTTTCCCTTGCCACACAGCATTTATTTTGGACGACGCTTTCTCAATCCATGTCACCCTTTTCTTGTAGTCTGGTTTCCACTTTAGTGTGGTGTAGAATCTCCTCATTATTACAACCTCTTCATCTCATGGTTGAGGCTCCAGTTGTACCCATTCTTTCATCTTTAAAGTACAAAACTTCCCGTTTTTCAATTAACTTATCGCCAAAATGATGGAACAGTGTTTTCTTCGTTGATGAAGATTTAGACTGCCATGCTCCACAATTGTCTTCAAAGTTACTTATTTTTCCGTGCATCCTCTTTTGGAAGTTGCCTTCATTTCCTATGAGGAAATATACGTCTTCTTTCAGACCTTGTGGGATTGAAGACTTTACATCAGTTCCATTCTGCAGGTGTTCAAATAAAGATTCAACGTCCAGAAAGCGTCCATTTAATTGATTGTTAAATGGAGGACAGTTTTTTTCTTCAGAGTAGTCTGACAATGAGTTTGAATGTTTCTCGGTTGAGTGACCATTTAACTTGCTGTTAACAGGACTTTCAGGCATTGAGCAGACAGGAATGTTGTCATTTTTACTGTCCTCTCTCAATGTACCATTATCCTCCTTGTTGGGCATGGATTCATTAGGTTGTACGTGTGTACTGGATTGGTTGCAGGTTTCTCTGCCTCCACATCTGAGAACAACATGTAGGTGTCAGATGGTGAAAGGTCGGTTTGACTCCCAGTGTCATCCTCCATGGGAGACTCATTGGATGGGGGAGTGTTAAGAGAAAGGTGTTTTTCAACCTAGATAGGATCTTTCAAATCGTAGATCTCCGAATGTGTTGTTTTTAAAGGTGACACGACAAATTGCGGTGAAGGACTACTTACACTGACAGGGGAAGATGTCTTCACATCGGATATGGAGCGATATTCCTCGATCAAAGGGACGAAGTAGTTTGGAAGCCAGATCTGATCACATGGATGAGGGCAGGTACCGCACATTCTGCTCCAGAGCAAGTACACTCTACCCTTGCTTGTATTTCTGGACAGTGGGACTCTTGGTGAGATGACGGTATTCAAAATTGGCAAGGATTTATCTAGCATGCCATTCATTTTTGGGTACATGGACACAATCTCTCATCCAATCACGGATGAAAGTCCTTGTATCGTAACGATTGACGAATAGCTTTTATCCCGAGCACAATCTTGGCAAGCTTTCATGATATCAGGAGACACGAGATGAAAATTCGCATAATTAAGGTTAATGTTCAAAGTTCAGAACTAGCTCCAAGCAGGTTCGGACGTTAAATAGACAGTTTCTGTCACCTTTAACATGGATTGGTACCCCTGATGGTATTCCTCCACAAAAGTTCACCACTGATTGTGAGTACTGATGGATCGTATGGTTGGCAGTTAAAGCTTGTTCGTCCGCCGGTAAATGAAATTGGTGATTCTTTAGCAAAATATTTTACAGGATTGCTGTTTTGTGAAGACCAACTATGGTTCTTCTGCTGGCATTGCTCAACCTTTCCAATGATCTCTTGAAGTTGAACTGACCCCTTCGATCAACACGACATCTTGAGCAAACGAACGCACATGAGACGTTCGAAAGCTCTTTAAATCGCCTTTGCAGATATTTTGCAAGCATAGTGAGCCCACTCACAACAGTGCTCACAAAAAATAGCGTCGGTAACGCATTGCTTTTACATTTGATACACGGCCATCTGGAAGCGGTTCTCTTTACACCGGTGCGGCTGGCACGTGGTTGTTTACTGAATTTGGATAGCTCGATAGAGAGACTTGTCAAAGACGAAAAGAATTAACACTGGATACGGTGTTCCCGAATACCATGGGTACCTAATGTCATGCTAATGAGCACATTCTTGTGCTATGACTCATGTGTGTTGTTTGAAAACTGTGCATCTAACAGCTAGTCAGATTGTAGCACAAAATTTACTTTTGACTGGAAAAATGATTTAACTGTAAAATTTATTTTTGGCGAGCAATTTCGGAAACAAAACTCATTTAGGGACGCATCATCATCAGAAGTGTTATGTAAGCTAGTGTCGTGAAAAACTTTTTGTTAAACTCAAGCTGATGACAATTTCAACTGTAAACTTTCTAATTTTTTTTAAACTATTTTACAAAAACATTTCAGCGAAAAACTGCTTTCATTTGTGAATTTAGCCAATAACTTGTTTCTAAGATTGTGCACTGCAAAGAATAAATATCTGGGTTCGGTAAATAACTGAAAAATTTTGATCATAGCAAATTTTTGTTATTGTAAAAACAGCCACATTCACTCAACACCTGTGTGTGATTAGTTCATCTTGATCGGCATCATAATCATGTTACCACATATTTTTTATTAGACCTGTTTTGTATTATATATTATAAAACTTTTATCTAATGTATTATAAAGCTTTTCATGATTTTACAATCTTCACGAATTTGACATGAGACCGGGTTTTAGTAACGATCTTTCAAGACACTGTAATGACCTCAACTCACAGAACATATAAGAATGTTTAATACAAAACATAGGATCCTTTTTATATACAGCTAACAATAGCATATTGGGATAATGGAATACTAATTAATGCATACTAATTAACTAATACTAATTACCGGATACTACATTTCTCCTTTTTTTCCAAAGATAGAAAATAATTAAAATATAAAACTACTAGAATGTCTTTTAGCCCCTACCAGTTCCCTTAAATATAGATTATAAGTAAGTAACCCCTTTTTTTTTTAACCATTTTCTGCTTTTCCTAAATAATGTTGATACTTAAATGTTCACGTTATATAGTCTGTCAAATATAATGGTTTTTTTCTGTTCCTCGTTGATCTTCTTAGCGGTTGTAGTTTCTCAGGTGGTGGTAATTCAAGTTGTGGTTTATCATCTTGTTGAGTTTCAGCCTGTTGAATTTCCATTCCTGGGGTGTTTCTAGTTTCTTCTCCTTTGTTGGTACTTGCATCACTCTCTGTGTGCTCTTGATTCTCTGTTTCATTTTTTCCAAAATTCTTCATCAAGGTTTCTCTCTCATTCTCTGAAATTATTTCTTCATCTGTTCGTCCTCGATGCTCATTTCCACGGACTAACATGTTCACAAGCTTGTACTGGCTGGCGTCGCGATAGACTTCTCGACCATCTTTAATCTGTCTAGCTGCGATGCTTGATCCATTAACAGGAGTTACAATATAGATTGCTGGCTCGTATGCTGTTGACCACTTATTTGTCTTCTTCTGCTTCAGGAGAACATGGTCACCAACAATGAAGTTATGCTCTTTAACGTTTCTTTTGTGAGCTGTGCGGGGCATCTTTTCTTTGTATGCTCCATCCTTCCTGTTAATTGTAGCATCCTCTGAATTCTTAGGATCTGATGAACTAGCTTGATGGTCCAATTTGGTCCACACTAGTCTATTCATCATTGCTTCATATGGTGTTGCACCGGTGGCTGGATGTGGTGTCGATCGAAATCCAGTCAGCATTTCTTGAATTGCTATGGTACTACTCTGACCTTGTAGGTGTGCGATCTTCTCTGTCTTGTTCAGAAGTTTCATGAAACGTTCCGCTTCAACATTTGCTCGTGCATGTCCTGGGGTAACCTAGTAACCACGGTAACCACCTTCAGGGTATCTAGTCCTTTTGTCGATAGCTACAAGGTTATAATGGCCATCAGGATACGGTCCTCCAAAGTCCACAGCGATTACGTCCCATGGTTTCTTCGGTATCGCCGTCGGTTTTACTGGTTCTTGCTGGTGTTGCTTTGTAGTGACTTGGCATTCAAAACATTGCCCAACGATCTGTTCCACCATTGTATTCATAGTCGGAAACCAATACTTATTGTGAAGCATCTGTTTAGTTTTGGTCATGCCCAGATGTCGTAAGTGATGTGCTGCTCTGACAACTTTCCTCTGTAATCGTGTGGGAATAACAATCTGGTCCATCCGGAAAATAATGCCATTGACAGAATACAGCTCGTACCATATACCATAGAAAGGACTGATGTCTGGATCCTTTCTGTATTGCTCCCAGTCTCCTCTTAAGATTCTCTCTGACAGTTTTTAGAGTTGGGTATCTTCCTGCGTCTCTTCTAGAATTTGATCAACAACAACAGCATGTTCTTCAGTAATAACCTGTTTCACAACTTGTCTCTGGTAGTGGATGTCTTGAAAGGAAATCTAGTGGATCTGCTTCGTTCTTGCCTGGATTGTATATAAGTTTGAAGTCAACATCCTGCATACCCATCACCCCCACTTCTCAATTCTTGGGGGCAGCTTGATGGTAGCCTTGTTAAATAGTGGAATTAATGGCTTATGTGCAGTGATGATCTTGAATCTTGGTGCTCTGAGGAGATAAATACTAAATCTGTTCTTGGCCCAGTGTACTGCTAAGGCGTCCTTCTCGGTCTGACTATACAGTTTCTCTACTTCCGTCATCGTGCGACTAATAAAATGAACTGGCTGCAGTCCCTTCTTGGTTTCCTGAAATAGTCCCGCAGATAGTCCCTCGTGATAGCTGGCTTCGACTCTCACAATTATTGGTCTAGTTGGGTTAAATAAGGCCACTGTGCTTTCGCTGGTGATGCTCTCTTTAACTTTTCTGAATGCTTCTTCTTCCTTCGATCCCCAATGGAATTTAATGTCTTTGTGTGTTAATGCTCTCAGCGGTGCAGTAATCGATGAATATAGAGGAATAAACTTCGACAAATAGCTTGTCATACCCAAAAAACTTTGCACGGCCTCTTTTGACTCAGGTGCTTTGCTTTCTTGCACTGCTCTAATCTTTTCAGGGCTTGGTTTGAGTCAGTTTTGAGTGAATCGGTGTCCATAAAAGTCGATTCCTTTGACACCAAATTGGCATTTCTCGAGGTTGAATGTGATTCAAAAATCAGCCGCTCTCTGCAAAACGGTTTCCAATGCTTTTGTCATGCTCCTCAGTATTTCTTCCCCCGATCAGGATGTCATCCCGCTGGCTAAGACATCCCTGGATGTCCCCAAATATGCGGTACATTGCTTCATCAAACAGGTCCTGCGATGATTTCGCCCCGAAGATCAATCTCTTTGCTCTCATATTGCCCCACAGGGTGCTGAAGGTTGCAATCATTCTTGACTCAGGATCCAACAACAACTGGTGGTAGCCCTGTCTCATATCCAGTTTGGAGAACACGGAACAGTCGTGGAACTTGTAAATGAAATCTTCAACGGTGGGCCCTTGAATTATGCGATGCCTCTCCATGAACTGTTTGGGTACTGTTAGGTCGACACTGGCTCGAATCATATGTGGCTCCAGTTGATCCTTATCTGTCCCACTGAACCTTGGCTTTGGTTGCACTACGAGTGGCGAACACCATGTCACTGGTTCACCATCTGGCACTTCTTTAAATATATCCTGTTTAATACATTGTTCCAGCCATTTCTTCAAGGGTTTCTGTAGATAATAAGGAACTGGTCTCGACTTTTGAGCAACTGGAACTGCTTCTGGCTTCATACTGAATTTGGTATAAAAGTTCTTATCATTCTTTTTGTCTCTGATCATCCCAATGCCTTTGAACACTTGATTATACCGATCTGTGATTTTCTTGATTCGTGGACTGTAGTCTTTACTCATCGTGACTGTTTTAATTCCCTGTGCTGGATCTGCGATTCTCATGTTGTTCTTTTCCGCGAACGAGCCATCCTCCCTGATCTGCAGCATTCCGAGTTTGAATAAGGTATTCTTGCTGATAAGTGGAGGTGAATTTATTCTGCCCTTGACTACGACAAATCTTGCCACCGTCCCACATGTTCTATTCTTAACCGTCGCCTTGAATTCTCCTTTCACAACCAGCTTGCTTTGCAACGTACTCAGTTTTGTCTGACTGGGTTGTAGCGTTGGTTGGTCTTTACCACACCGGTTCACTAGTGCTCTGAATTGGTGCTCATCCATCAAATTAACTTCAGCTCCACTGTCCGGTTCGGCTCCAACATCATTAATATGTATAGTCACAGTCTTGTTTTGATTGTTCCCTTGAATTCTCTTAACTTGCTTGAGATGTCTTACCACTTGACCGAAAAATTTGTCATCGGAACTTGTTGCAGTATCTGTTGCGTCTTCTGACGTTTTCTTGATTGATCGTTTCTGCTTTTGGGAACCTTGTTGGTCGATCTCACGCTCGTGACTCGATTTTCTCCGATCGCCTTTTTGCGTATCCGATTTACTTGATCTGCAAACTATCGCAAAGTGATTGTACTTTTGACACTTCTTGCATTTCTTGCCATACGCCGGACAATTCTCTCCGCTGATGTGAGTCCTTGTTTGTCCACAGTAATTACATGGCTGTGTTTGACGTCCCAACGGTTTTCCCACATACGGTGTTCGTCTCCTCTTATGTCGTTTCTCGTTGTTCACGAACTTCACCTCTTCATGTCCGGGTAATTTCATATCGCGTACTTGAAGCGATGTATCCTCCATTTGCGCCGCTTCCATGAGAAATTGTGACAAATTCCACTTCTTGTTGATAGCCTTTTGGATCAATACCCGATTATGAGTCGTTTGAATGAGGTGTTCTAAGATTCGTTCGTCAGAGTTCCCTTCAAATTCACAATCATTAGCCTTCTCTCTCAGTTGACTTGCATATGCCGCTATTGTTTCGCCCTGATTTGGTCGGAGTTTAAGGAATAAATATCTGGCGTGATGTTTGTTTTTCTTGGGTGTGAAATAGTCGTTTAGTTTTGTCCTCAGTTTGTCGAATTCATCGAGTTCCCCTGCCGGATTAGGTAAGCTTTTCTCAAGCCTAGCTATTTCTTTACCGCCATAAATAATTGGGGCGTCTTTCTTGTCAATCGGGTTGCTTATTTTGAAATAACGAAGCTCTTGTTCGATTTCTTCTAACCAATCGTCCCACGCTTTACCCGTAGTAATCTGATCATCTCCTGGTGCAAAAGGTCGTATTTTGAGGTTCCTTGTTTCTGTTATGACACAAATAGTCGATGCTTCGGCACTTCCTGCTTGCTGTTGTTCGCTATTGGACATAATTTGTTGATTTATTCGAATGTTCTTAACGTTGTTAACCGAAAACTATTCCATATTTCGCTGCTCAAGGCGGATCTTTACTAACTCTAAGAGTTTTTTTTATCCTCGTCGCCAATGTAATGACCTCAACTCACAGAACATATAAGAATGTTTAATACAAAACATAGGATCCTTTTTATACACAGCTAACAATAGCATATTGGGATAATGGAATACTAATTCATGCATACTAATCAACTAATACTAATTACCGGATACTACAGACACTAACTTTGTGTGTGTCTCTAATAATAGTATAATACAAAATAATGTTCAGGTTCAGCATGCACTATCTGTATTTTTGTCGGTTTTTGTCTGTCCTTTTTATAATTTTTTGTCGGAGTTCTTGTCGGTATTTCTCAGCTTCTTGTCGGTATTTCTCAGCTTCTTGTCGGTATTTCTCAGCTTCTTGTCGGTATTTCTCAGCTTCTTGTCTGTATTTCTCAGCTTCTTGTCGGTATTTCTCAGCTTCTTGTCGGTATTTCTGTGCTTCTTGTCAGTATTTTTGTGCTTCTTGTCGGTTTTTGTCAGTTCTTATCAGTAATTAGAATGACCCTTACAAAACGACTATTACAAAACGACTAACTTTTCTTATTTATTAATTTCAGATGACACTGGTTGTATTGTTTCTTTCATTGAAACAATATTGAAAGGGTTATGCAAATAAGAATATAACACCATATATGCACACAGCAGCATATCATATCAAAGTTGTGCTGGATAAATTTAGGAATCTGAAACAATTCATTGGACAAGGTATGAAATCTTTATACTTGTACTATATGAACATAAGATAAGGTACTCAATATTGTTATATGCTCTTCCTTTACAGGTGTCGAAAAAAAACAATGACATTGAGCGGAACATAGACTAAACACTCTGTACAAGAAGGAAAGAAGGAAAAGACAGTGTACAAAGGTAGCAACTGATTTCTGGAATGGTGGGTGTAATCTAGTAGATTATATAATGTTGTAAAATGAATGATGTATGCATGTTCTTAGGGGTGTTACTAAGTGAGGCCTGTGTAAATGAATTCTGCAACTACATAACTATATAATATGGCCGCAGTGGACATGTGGGCACTTAATGTGTACAACTAAACTAATAAAGTACGAACTCTACATTTGCGACGAGGATGGTGTGATAAAGTGAGGACAAAGAAAGAGGGGGGAAAGGAAAGAACGCGATGAGAAGCTCAAGAATGGCAGTAGTGTACTGGTTTTCAATAGCAAAACAGGTATGCTAGCTCAAAGATGGAAGAAATTGTTGACACGGTTTTCTAATATAATGGTGGCGATGGACATTACAGATAAAGCCAGACAAAGAGCTTTGCTGTTGCATTATATTGGGAAGCAACAAATGAAATCTTTGAAATGCTGCCAGACACTAAAATGGGGAGAGATCAAGACCCGTTCAAGTGAGCACACGAAGCTTTGACAAAGTATGTCATGCGGAAAAGAAATTGTGAGTGAGATTTATGTATTTACACAAAGTAAGCAAGAATCTGATAAGTCATGTCAAAATTGTGGTAAGGAGCTGCATATTGCGTTACTTGTCATAATTCATGTATTAATTATTTTACAGACGCTGTAAAAGTCCTCTGTCATTCAGTAAGAAAAATTTCAAAAAATCCTGTCACTCCACAAGAATATCACGCAGTTCTAAACATCACTCACATGTCAGAAGATGAAGATATTCCGGATGAGGAAGGATGGCACATCTAGAGCTGACCAGAAACCCAACAGCAAGCCCATGGTTGTGGAATTTGTACATGCGGTTGTAATAAAAAAGGGTTATAGCCTGTTTCAAATGTACGTGTAGAGTGTTTTTGTGCCAAATCAAATGTAATTATATTTGACATATTGCCGAGAGTAGCATGCAGGGTTAGCGTCAGTGAAAATTATAGGATTAAATAAAGCCATACTTTTGTCTCAAATATTGTATTCATGCATGCATGCAATCACTCATTGTTTGGTTAAAAAATATCCCAATAAATCAAAATGATCTCAAGGCTTGATTACATTTGCAATTTTTACTAAGACTTTCTTCTTTTGTTAGATGTTAATGAATGAACTGACTGTAGCATATATACTTGATTAAGCACTAAAGACTGACAAGTGGAATATAAGCACTTGGTTTTACTAAAAATGGGCATGATGACGTGGACAGCTAGGAACCTTTTGGCACAAATTGCACGCCTATATTGAATAGCCATATTGTTTATATCTACCATTTGTGTAAAACCACATTTATAGCTCCGTGTGACGGCTGCAACTCTCGAAGAGAAAAAAAGAATGAGATCTTTATAGTCTGGTCTTTATATTCTGAAATATTATATGTGGGCAGGAGATCTTCACAAGTGAGTGAATGTTATTTTATAGGCAAATACAATTATTCAATTCAGAGTTTTTCCATATCTAATTTGAAATTAAACAGTTTGAAAAATATTTAGAATTGTGCGTCCACAGCTGTTGCATGCAGATTGCAAATGGTTTTATATATGCCCATAAATATAAATATACATCTCCATTTACAAGATGACTTTTCGATATAAACAAAACAAACACATAGCCATCTACTGTGCTGGACAATGTAATGAACCATTAAATTTTTATGTAATATGAAGAGTGTCTAGTGTTATTGAATTCAGTTCAGCTTAATGATATATTTTTACTACATGCTTCCTTTTCATTAAAACTTCATATTTTTAAATTATGAAAACAAACAAAGGTGAAGTCCATTCTATTTTTTATGTAAGCTAAAGGACAGTGATCTACCCTTCCTTTATAAAGAAGCACATTACATGCAATTATTTTCCCATCGTTGTGTGCCACTTTGAATATCACTATTTCACATTTGGAGGGCCTTAAAACCCCCTACATAACAAAATCCATTTCCCCCCTATTTTTACCCACAAACATCATATTTCCCCTATTATCACCAACTGCTCAGAGTTATTGAATGTCATATACAGTTACTTTGCGTGGTCTGTGGTTGCTGTTAAAAAAATGTTACAATACAACAATGATAATTCTGGGACCTCAAGCATGCTGTTCCAAAACTCAATGATACTCTTTTGCTCCCAACCACCCTTTTTAATGGTTTCATCAACTTGGAGAGACGGCCACTGCCGAACGATATTTTGGATGGCCGGGGACTGTGCCCATAGTATTTCCAAGATGTGGAAGACCTCTTGCAAGTACTCCAGCAGGCTCAAAACTTGTCATACCGCTTCTCTGTACCAGTCAGGACATCGTTTCAGGAAACTGTGTTTCTGGTGTGGTACGAACAACTTCATGATTTCACATGCCATAATGCCTGGATAAACATCGTGAAGTGGAAACCATTGCATTTCATTATCAACTTCTATCTCACTTAACTTCAGATGCCGAAGTGGCTTGCAAAAACTGGTGTAAAACATTCGAACAACTTGTTCAACTTCTTGAAGTAGTCAATGGAGATAAAAGTTATTTGATTGAAACATAAGATTGAGACCATTCAAGTCACCGAGAACATATTCCGAAAACTCAAGGGTAGCTTTTATGTAAGATGATCTGAGAGCATTCATGATCCTTTCTGCCTGTGGGGATTTTGTTTTCGAGTACTCGCTTACGAAAAACAATTCAAGGGCAGGCCATTGTTCTAAAATCTGTTGAACACATTGTAACACTGACAACCACCGTGTTTGACAAGGCTTCAAAATTTTGTGTGGTTGCCACAAAATTCTGAAATTCCTCGAGGCTTTTCCTTCTATTAGAGCGACAGTTTAAAATTATTGTACACATTGTGGATGAGTTGGTTGGCTGTTTTTGAAAAAGTTTCGGAGGCATGTTCGGCAACAAGATGAAATGTGTGACAGTAACATTTCAATACGAATAAACCTGGCGCAGCATCTCTTATTTTTGTCATAATAAGAGTTATTTCCCCTTTGCATTAAATTTTCGCAGTCTGAAGCATAACTAGTCACATTTTCCCACAGCAGTTTGTCTTTCTTGAGAGCCATATTCAAAGAATGAAATAAACCGCTTGCATCTCCATCCTCCACTGGTATTAATGGATAAAAGCGAGTCACTGGTTCAAAACTATCTTTTTTCAAGAAACAGCATTTAAAGCAATTATTAAATGAAATAGCAAATTTCTTAACCTATAATAGATTATTATTAAACTATAATAGATTTTTTATAATGCTAATGGAAAGCTGACATTGCATGTACACAGCCATTTGATTTGATTGCAAGTACCACGGACAAATACTGGCGCAAAAGAGCTGCCTTGGTGTTAAAAACACTATCAGATTCCCGCATTTTGACGATGTCTCAGTCAATCACCTGGCATACCACAATGACGCAAAACACGAAATTCGTAGCTAAGCAGACGAGCAAGCTCTTCAACCATCGACCCTACAACCTCAGGGGCGTGAGTGGTCAGATCATTTGTGCCCATCTCAAGAATTATAATGTAAGGTTTGGCAGATCGGACATAGGAAAGATCGCATTGAATCACGTTTTAAACAGTACGGCCACCTCTACCCAGGATTGTGACATAACCCAATTTGGGAATATGAAAATTTTGGGATGCACGGGAATTTAAATTATGAATGAAATCACAAATGATTATGCTATACAGCAATGAGACGTAATATGGAAGCAAAAAATACTCTAGGAGTAATTAACCTAACCTTGTAGACCATTTCATTTGACAATTTCTTCATCTCCCTTCTAAATCTTCCTCTGTTTCTGCTTCTGCTGTGTAATAATGCAGTACATCAGGTACATAGCAGAACATTCTGTAAATATGAAAAATGACAGTTAAAACTAATAAATCTAGACAACCTGACCTAGTATAAAGGGGTAATCAAGCTAACCTTGTAGACCTCTTCATGTGTCAATTACTTCATCTTCTTGTGAACCATCGTCTGTTTCTGCGGCTGCAGTGTAATCACTTACATTTTCACAGTCCTC